TTTTTTTTTTTTTTTTTAAAAAACCTGAACCTGGTCTTGCCTTTATTTTTTTTTGGTAATATAAACTTATTTTCAAACGTAACACTGACTAATCCAAAAGCCACTTTTTGTTATTTATCATTACTATTTTTAATTTTAATTATTCTCTTTACTTTTTGTACTATACATTTAAATTTGGATTAAAGTTAATATGCGCCTAACATGTTGAACTGAAATTAATGTATCTTTTAGTCAGAAAAAGTTTTTATCATATTGTTATTTATACTGTGCATTACACCAAAAAATGGATCTACTTTATATATAATTTGTATGATAAAATATATAAACTAATTATCTGAAAATTTTTTACAGTTTTGATATTTATTTGCAAACATGAATCGCAATTGCCTAAAAATGTTTAGACACGATTATACCTATAAAGCGCGAGAAATCAATGACTTTTGAATAGTTATATGGATGAATTGGTAAATATATGGATTGAATACTCCCTCCTGTTTGACCAAAAAAAATTATACTCCCTCCTGTCTTGAGTGTCTTTGACTAATTCACAGAAATAAAAAATGAAGGCTAACACACTAAATATGTCTTAAATTAAATTTTTTCAACTTTACTTATATTAAATGAGGTTATAAAGAAGAGAAAAATTATAAGGAGCCACATTTAAGCATTAATTATACAGACAAAATTGAGAAAGAATAATTAATTACTCTCTAGGCAACTTATTAACCAAACAGTTTTCCTAGGAGTAACTTGTGTGTATCATGGACCATGGGGAGCATATGGATTATAATTTATTATATGTATTATATAAATTACTAATATAAATAAGCGAATAAAGATAGCGAAAAAGATACTAAAATACTCTTAAAAATATTAGAGGACAAATTAAGCGAGTGAATTCAAAATTCTAGATCATACTCCTTATACTATTTTGAAATTTTAAAATATTGTGAAATGACAACACTGTTCTTATTCCTGGTAATTAGTTTCATAGAGCTATTAACTACTATAATTTAACTATTGAGTATTTTTGTTTTTAAAATTTTGATGACTACTTTTAGATACCTATTGACTGTAAAAAGTAGTAAATAACTAAACAAAAAGTAGTCACTAGATCTCCAAAAACATTTAATGTATTTTTTAAATTTTTGAAATAAAAATAATCACTAGCGAAATTAGAGTAGTCAATAGCTAAACAAGAGTAATCAACAAATTTTTAAAAATGAAAGTAATCAATCGCAATAATAAAGTGGTCAATAGCTAAACAAAAGTAGTTATTAGAGTTCTAAAAACAAATGTAGTCAATAACTAAAAAAAAATATTCAATACATTTCGGTGACATGTCATCGGAGCTTTAGTGGTTGACCTAATAGGGCTCTTGGCACAAGAGCTCTAGTGGCCAGAAACCTGTTAAGGGTGTTGATGTGATATAATTTTTTTTAAATAGTGAATGATATTTGTATAATTTTACAAGATTTGAAAATTTCAAAATGATAAAGAGTCTGAATTGAATTTTAAAATTATCCATGTTGATTTGTCTTTTAGCAATTTTTATGATATTTTATTATCTTTTTTTTCCATAAAGATAGGTGCCTTTTTTTTTTTTAAAAAAAAACTACCTATTATGTCTAAGATGCTTGACTTTACCATGTGCAAGGGCATGATGAGGAAGGAAACAGTGAGAAAAAAGTGGATAAGCGTGACGATGATAGAAATGAGAATATTCGTTCATAATAACCTCTTTAGGCATTATACAAGTTAAGAGTAGGAAATTAGGAATGCGAAAACGGAAGTTAAAATTTAATCCCAAAAGAGAATGATATAATAAAGACAAAAGAAGAGGGAAAAGGGTATAATACTGTTGGAGGCTGGGGCATATATAGAAAGAGGAATAAGTGAAGAGAGAGAAGGGAGAGAACTGAGATCAATAATGGCGGAGTTGTTGAAGAAAAGCTTGAAAGCTCTCTTAAGTGTGAGTGTGGCCTTAGTACTGTTATGGCTTAGACCTTCCATGGCGGCCAAACCAGATGGAGTGCCAGTAGGCGTCATTCTTGACCTGAATTCAGAACTTGGCAAAATGGTTAACAACAGCCTCGCCCTTGCCGTCGAAGATACAGAGCGTTATACAGCCACCAAGATTCGCCTTATAATCCGGAATGTTTCTCAGAACGACGCCGTCGCTGCAGCAGGAAATGGTAACGTGACACCCCCTGCTCCCATCTCCATCTTCTCAATTTTAATTTCTCTCTAACATCATAAACAATATTATTTTTTGATAGATTTTTCGCAATGATCATTAACAAGAAAACATAACTTAAAATTAGCATGAGTCTTTTTGAGAGTCTGCATGTACGGTGATTTTTGTTAATGATCAAAGTATGCTGTAGGCTGGGCTTAGTGTTTAATGTAAAAGTGAACCCAAGCCTCCCCTGTTTTTCTTTTTTTCTAAAAAATTAATCTGCAAATTTATGTAGTTTCACCTTATTTTTAGGTTCATATAATTTCTTAATCAGGTTCTTATAATTTCACCTAAGTTTCATGTGATTTTAATTAAGTTCTTGTAGTTTTTTCTTTTTACCTTTTTTATTAGCTTCTTAGAGTTTCATCAAAAATGGTGGTTATTTATAACTACTATTGAAAAACAAAAGCCTTTTACGAAAGTTTTAAATTCTGTCGTTACCAAATTGAAAATTAAATTAATATAATGGTCCTAAATGCCATTCCCTCTTTAAAATTTTAGGCAGCCATAAGGATATCATTTTATTTATTAATATGCTCCCTGTTTCATTTTTTTTTTGGTTGGGCTCCGGTCCTGTCTCCCTGACTCTTCAAGTTAACGTAGAGTAGACCTATTTTAGGATAAAATAGGCTTACTTTATGTTAACATGTAGAGATCAAGGTGATAGAACTTGGAGACAACCTTTGAATATGCAAGCAGCTTCTGAACTAATTGAGAAACACAAAGTGCGTGCCATTCTGGGGCCCCAAAATTCAGAGCAAGCAGGTTTTATAGTGGAACTTGGCTTGGAATCCCAAGTACCTGTTATTTGGTTTCCCATAACTGGCCCATCCCTTTTGCCACCTCCATCACCATCCTCCAATCAAGGCCTTAATTGCTTTCAGTTCCAAGCTATAGCTGCCACCATTGAAGCTCTTGGGTGGCAGTCAATCGTCCCCATTTTTGAAGACACTGAATATGGCGGTCACCTTATTCCATGCCTCAGCAATGTCTTGAAAGATATGGGCATACGAATGGTTAACATAACTGCCATTGATCCAGATTCAACAGATGTTGAAATTGACGACATTCTCGTCAAGTTAAACAACAGGCGAACACATGTATTTCTTGTCCATATGAGCATGGATTTGGGAATAAGATTTATTCAGTCTGCAGAAGAACAAGACATGATGGGAGAAGGATATGCTTGGATACTTACCCAGGGGTTATCTTCTTTAACAGATCCTCAAGTTACGACTGGGAACCCTTTGAAAGGATACATGCAAGGTGCATTGGGAGTGAGGCCAATGGATTCGAACAAAACACGTTGGCGTAGGTGGACACAGAGTTATTTTGACTACAGGTTCAATAGTACCCTATCAGTCTATGGATGGTGGGCTTATCACACAATCGAAGCATTGGCTATGGCATTAGAGAAGCCAGGCGCAGACAATAATGGCACAAAACTTCAAAGTGAAATTTGGGATACTAATTTCACAGGCTTGTCAGGGATAAATTTTAATTTAAAAGGAGGACAACTAGATCAATCGGTGCTTGAAGTATACAATGTGATAGGACCGAGAGAAAGGGTCATTGGTTATTGGAAACCTGAAACTGGACTTGTTCAAAATTTTAGTAAAGGTGCTAAGATATCTGGTAAATACCAACTAAAGGATCCATTGTGGCCGGGTGACACATTGGATAAACCACCAAAGTTGAGGATTGGAGTCGTAGCAACAAATTCTTTTCCTGAATTGGTGAGTGTAGATAATTCGACTACGCCGGTGATGATTCATGGCTTTGCTTTTAATGTGTTCTTAAAAGTTGTCGATGTTTTGCCATTTCCGCTCGATTATGAGTTTGTCCCCTTGCCAAACAAAAGTAGAAGCGGTACTCCCATTTATGACGATATTCTCTGCAACCAAATGACAGACAGGGCAAGTTTTCGTTTTCTTTTTAAGTTGTTTTTCTTCTATCAATTTATCTTTTAAGTTTCTAACGGAAAATCAGGCATGTTATTGGCATACTGATATGAATGCATGATATATGTATATATTTATGGATATTGTTTCTTACCTTCACGCTTGAAAACACTTACTCTGTATATGAAAATATTGCAGGATCTTGATGCTATAATTGGAGACATCACAGTTGTGGCACATCGTACAAACTGTGTTGATTTCACTCTGCCATATTTAGATTCAAGTGTAACAATGATGGTAAGGGTGGAGAATGCGTCCATAAGTAAGGGGATCCTCTTGAAACCTTTCAAATGGTCACTATGGTTAATTCTTGTGGGATTTTTTCGGCTGCAACTATTATCATAATTATATTAGAAAGAAATGAAACCAACCAATTTCGCTTCAATCCCTTCCTTGTTTACAAGATCGGTGAGTTCTGTTATGTAGCATATTTACTTTGATTATGTGTTACTTTGTTTCAATATGCGCCTCGTACATGCTCTATCACACACTTGACATCAATCTTGTATGTACGATGATATATCACAGATGTTATGGAGAATTTTGCAAGCAGTGCTACAGGATGGATGGTGATACTGACATCATTCTTATTCATCTTGGTGGTGCAAGTTTACACAGCGAATTTAACGTCAATTTTAACACAAAGCAAAATGAAAGAGCCTTCATTTAAGGACGAAAATGAAACTAAAAGCAGCAACCTGTCCGTGGGATATCAAGCTGGGTCATGGGTGGAAGGGTTTTTGGTTAGCCAACTCAAACTCAACTCGTCCCAATTGAAGGCTCTAGGAATTCGCGAAAAGTACAACGAATCACTGTCAACAGGAACCAAACATGGAGGAGTGGATGCCATTTTTGATGAAACCCCTTACCTCACGCTCTTCCTCTCCAAATATAGATCTCATTTCATGATGACAGGACCGAACTATAAAACTGGCGGATTTGCCTTTGTAAGTCTACTCCATCTTACTTTTCCTCATCACATGTGCTTACACTCTCTTCTCTTCATCATATGGCAAAGTTAGCTAACTTCATGTGTGTGTGTGACTTTCCGATTCTATGCTTTGTTAAAATTAGTTACCACAAAAAGATATTGTTCAAGAATTAAGGGATGCCAACAGCTAGTTAGAAATTAACTACCACATCTTTGCCCTAGATTTAAGACCAAGTATAGGGCTTTGATTTAACACTTTAATTTGTTAGGAACATTAGTTTTTTTCATTTTTATAGTTTTGACTCATTTGTAAGTCCGTTCTAAATTTTGACTAAGTGCAACTTAATCTTTATAATTTTAACCATTTTAAAATTCAGTCCTTAAATTTTATGAAATACATATTTTTTTTTAAAAAAAATAGAGATTAATATTTTAAATAAGTAAACTATATGGACTAAGTTGCATTGAGACAAAATTTAGAAACTGAATCATAGAGATTGAGTTATACTAAGCTAGAATTTAATAATGGAATTACGCATTCACACTCAAGTCAAAATTAGAAAGATAAAAAGATTAATGTTTTCCAACTTTTCCCAGTAATTAGTATGGGAGGGAGTACATTATTCACTCTATCCATCTATATATATTTCCCCTAATTATATGGTAATGACATTTCGTGCGACTATTTAGAATCCTAACAGTATTTGCTCATCTGATTTAAGTTTGAAAATAAAAGGAGCTCTTTCAATATATATATTTTTATGGGTATCAAGTCATTAGCGAATCATTCCAACCATTATCAGTGGTTGGTCTATAAAACCTAAATGTGATGCTACATATTCCTTGTATTTTCAGGCATTCCCAAAGGGATCTATCCTGGCCTCCCATTTCTCAAATGCAATCTTAAATGTGACGCAAGACGTGGAGCCATATCGTGAGCTGATGGCCAAGAACTCCTTACCCACTTCCATTGAAGATTTTGAATTTGAAGAGCAGAGTGATATAGAGACGTCAAGTCTGAGTATAGCTAACTTTGAAAGCCTTTACCCTGTCCTAATATCCTTAGTGGCTCTCTCTTTAGGCCTTGCCACTCTGAATCCATCAGTGATCACACGGTTGCGTGAGAAGCTAAGCCTTAGTGGCTCTCTCTTATCAGTGATCACACGGTTGCGTGAGAAGCTAAGCCGCAAGTCAGCTAAGGCTTAAATAATACATGTGATATACTACATGTGTACATAAAGCTCCTTGTTATGCTATCTACTTTATGTAATGAATAATTTGTCCTTTTGTGTTTTCATGGTCAACCAGAAACATGTATGTGTATCCTTGTTTGTTTTCTATCAATCAGAAAACAAACATCATCACTAAAAACGCTCCTAACCCCCCAAAAACAAAAAGACAAAAGGAAAAGAGAACACACAAAGAGCGTCTTATTTTTGGCTGAATTCAGGTTTAGTTGGCTTTCTTTTTACTCCATTTTTAAGGCCGTGTATACTAAATCTTAGTCCACTTTGATTGTGCAGGATCTATTATGCAAACCTATTTTGCTGTGTAAGTCAACATTATTTTCACTAACTTTCACTCTGAATATGATCCCTCCATTATTCAAGATCAAATTTGCTCTCACCCACCTCTGCTTTTTAATCAAGAAACAGAGATAAACAGAGCCATGAATTCGAAGATTGTAAGCATGAAGATTTTTCCAATGGCAGAGCAATTGTACCTTGTGGTCTTATAGCTTGGAGTTTGTTCATGCAGACAACTTCTCCTATAAAAACCATGTTTTGGCAGTAAACAAGAAAGGAATCTCCTGGAAGAGTAATAGGGAACACAAAATTGGCAAAGATGTCTTTCCTGTATAAACTTTTAGAATAGCTCTCTGATAAATAGCGTACGTCTCAATGAATCCATACCTGCAAGTCTTACTATAAAACATTTTTATTGAATGACTAAATTTGAAGATTTTTACTGCTTTTTGATTGAATAAAACTATTTATATGACTGTTTGTGAGTGTGGGAGAAGTTCAGAGCAAGTGAAAAAGCCAAGTAAGTGTGGGAGAAGTCAAGAGTGACTGAAACGCTGAATAGCATATTCTCAGAGAGAAGATAAATGAGATGGTACAGTACAATGATTTCATGATGACATGGATACAAATGCATTAAAATGATAAAATTTTTCAAATTTATCTTTATTAAAGTTTTTTTTCCTTTGCATTTACAAATTATTGTCAACTCTCTCCCCTCTTTCTCTCTTTCTAACAGGAATTATATCAGGTAAAATTAAAAAATGATTATCTCTCTCCCTCTCTTTCTGACATGGATATAAATGCATTAAAATGATAAAAATTTTCAAATTTATCTTTATTAAAGTTTTTTTTCCCTTTGCATTTACAAATTATTGTCAACTCTCTCCCCTCTTTCTCTCTTTCTAACAGGAATTATATCAGGTAAAATTAAAAAATGATTATCTCTCTCCCTCTCTTTCTGACATGGATATAAATGCATTAAAATGATAAAATTTTTCAAATTTATCTTTATTAAAGTTTTTTTTTCCTTTGCATTTACAAATTATTGTCAACTCTCTCCCCTCTTTCTCTCTTTCTAACAGGAATTATATCAGGTAAAATTAAAAAATGATTATCTCTCTCCCTCTCTTTCTGACAAGAATTAAATAAAGATACAATTAAAAAATGATTATTAAATATTCTATTAGTAACTTATATTTAGGACTAAAAATTCCTCCTGCAAATGAGTTATGATAAGCATCCGAGTGATTCTCTCTGGAAAATACTGCCTTTGGTCCTGGTTATAAGTTTTAAATTTAGGAAAAAGTGTGGTTCACTTTGTAAGTTTTCATTTTAAATTTGTTTTATGTTTTTTTAATTTTATTCTTAATTATTTATTATCTCCCATTTGTCATACTCTGTCTTATCACATTTTTTCACACATTTTTTTTTTATTTTTCTTATTTATTATAAAAATATATTTAAAAACAAAAAGTTATTCTTAACCCATTTGTTGTTGTTAACTAATTTCAGAATCATTTAAAAATCAAAGTGAAGTGGTGAGGTGGAAAGCTTGGGTCAAGCTCAAGACAAAGTGGCACAAATCTCGAAACAAAATGACAATCTCATGGAGGGAAATCGAAGCATGGTGGCCCGTGTGTCCGTTCTCTCCTTTTCCATTTCTTGTATTGCCAGAGCACGTTTAGGCCGGTTTAGCATGCTGAAAATCTGGCCCTAGAAAAAGAAAATCAAGATTTTCCATCAGCTTTGTGCGTTTGGTTGGACAACTTTTTGGGAAGCTATTTTCCGACGGCGGCAATTTTCGTCTGCATAAAGAAAAATCAGTTTCTCCTTTTTTTGGTGGGAAGCAATTTTCCAACGCAAGTGGACAAAAACGAAAGACATGTCTAGCTCTCAAAACATACGTTCTTGCTCTCTCCTTCTGCTCCTATTGTTTCTTCCTCTCTCCTCATCGTTTTTTATTTCCATCTCCTTTTTTTTTCTTCATCTTCATATCTGTCACATCTTATCCCTTTTTTAATAAACAAAAAGCATCATTCATCATTTAAAGCAAACAAAATTTATGCAGTATAGATTGGCTCGTTATTCTCAATAGATAAACAAAATATTTCTTTAATTAAAAACCAAAAAAAAAAAAATTTCCAATGGGCAAGGAGAAAAAGAATTCTGCAACTGCTTCAAAAGGCAAGCATGTGCACCGAGAAGCACATCAACACATGCGGAAAAATAGCACCCGAGCTTGACCAATAAGCCCTAACTACTACAATATATTTGATTACAATATATTTGATTTGTAGCGCCTGTTTTGTAGTATTTAAATATAAAAACACCACAGCTAATACTCATTAATTTATTAAAAAAAAAGCATATTCTATAGCACTTTTTTAAGAAAGTGCTATAGCTAGTATAGTACTTCCTATAGCGATTTTTTAAGAAAGCAATACAGAAAATCTTTTTTTTAAAAAAAATATTATATCTGCTATATCTCACTTGTTGTAGCGCTTTTTGAAGAAAGTGCTAGAGAAGATTTTTCTAAATATATTTATATCATCCCATTTTCTATAGCAAGGTCTTTGTAAAAATATATATATTAAAATTTTTTTAAAAAATACACACCTGCTATAGTGCTTTCTTGAGAAAGCAGAAAGTGCTGCAGCAGGTCATTTTAAACTCGTATTGTTTTGTGAACCAAACGCTACAGGAGGTCCTACTTAGAAAATGCTATAGCAAGTGAGCTAAATTTTTTTTTATTTCTCTCTGTTTTTTCCCTCTCTTTTTCCCCCACATCATCACCCCTCGCCAATCCCACTACTCATCTTCACCGTTTTTTCTTCCTCCCCATTTCCTTGTAGCTCCCTCTTGTCTCCACACTCACTTCCTCCTTTCTACCAAGCATCCTCACCTCTCATTTTCCCTGCCCACTTTACTTTTCATACCACGGTCCTTATTTTCATCCCCACCCCATTTTTTTCTTCTTCATTCCTACTCTTTTTTGTCCTCACACCATTTTTCCTTCCTCATTCCCACTCCCTTTCGGTCCCCACACACGGTCCCCATCCCCTTCCCTTCCCAACTTTTCTTTCCTTGTCCCTATCCTATCTCCTCCTTGTCTTCACCCCTCTTTCCTATCCCCACTCCTCTTTCTCATCCCTGTTCTCTTTTTATTTTATTTATTTTTTTTGCAAGGCATTCAATATAGTTCTGTTCAATTGTAGATTCATGTTCCTTTTGTCTTTACCCCTCATCCTCGTCCCCACTCTCTCTTTACTTTATTTGTTTATTTGTTTATTTTTTTGCAGGGCACTTAGTATAGTTTAGTTCAATCTATCATACATTGTAAGTATTTTTATTTTTTAAGGTCATATTATTTTAAAAGCTTACAAATTTAAGCTTATTAGTAATAAATATTTTAACTTGCTTAATATTTTTTACTTTAGTTGGATAGATTTTGTAAAATTATTCATTTATTTTACTTTATTTATTTGCTTATTTATTTTTTTAGGGCACTCAATATTAGTTTAGCTCAATCTACAATACATTGTAAGTATTTTTATTTAAGTTTGTTAGTAATAAATATTTTAACTTGCTTAATATATCTTATTTTAGCTGGTTAGAGTTTGTCAAATTATTTATTGGGGAAAACTTGAAATATGTTAGAAAATTAATGAGGCATGATTAATTATTATCAGTTACATATGGAAGTATTTGATAGTTATAATTTTTTGTTTTCTATTTTAGGTGGAATAATATGTTGGCAAATATGATCTTTATTGTTATGGGCTGTGAAAAATTGATGACACATGCTACATGAATTGTTTAATTAAGTACCATTAGTTAAAAAGAAGTTTTAGGTCCCGGAAATTTTTAAGTTGTTATGCTACTAAATTTTGTTAAGTAAAGAATATTATTTAAACAACTATTTACATAGTTTTGTAATTTGATATTGTGAGATATGCAAGTTAAAATGGTCCAAACATATGATACAACAAGAAGAATAGCTAAAGAAGTAATGTCACAATATTTAATCTGTTGGCTTTGAATACTTTCTATTTTAGATTTGATATATGTTGGCAAATATGATTTTTTGTTGTTGCTTTTAACTGGGAAAAATCATTGAGTTTTGTTGGATTAATTGATTGATTAGATATTATTAGTTAAAAGAGATGTCTTGAGCTTGGAAAACTTCCATTTTTAAGCCGTTATATTGCCGATTTTATTTTGAGATAAATAACAAAATATAGAAAGTTATTAATGAGTATAATAATTATGTACTTAACTATTTATTTATAATAGATTGAAGACATGGATCAAAAATGGAAGTCATCTGATCGATGTTCAATGGAATATTTAAATGGGGCGAAAGAGTTTATTGGTTTTGTAATGAGGCATGCAAAAGATCTTGAAAAAACTGTTTGTCTTTGCTTAGCTTGTTGTTATGGAAAGCAAATTAGTCTACCTGATTTGCTAGGTCATTTAGTGTGTTATGGAATTGATCAATCCTATACACGATGGACAAGGCATAGTGAGACTTATGATTCATGTAGTGATCAAGTTCATGACACAAGTCATGCTTCAAATGAGTTTGGCACAAACATATGTGATGAGGATGATGGTCTTGAAGATATGCTAAATGCAATTGAAGAGGATCTTCGTGATTGTCCTAATTTATTTGAGATATTA